AAGGTCTTTAATTTTTTTTTGTGATTCTTCATAATCGTGTTCCTTTTCTGTGAGTTTTTTGTTAAGGTTCACATTTTAGAATTTATATTTTATTAAGAACATGTTAGATGAAATCCAAATTGGAATTCTTCAAAAGTTTTTATAGTTAGACTATAAAAATACAGTAGTTTATATCTTCCTCTTAAACATTTTAAGTGATGCGCGTGATATTTGATTAGTAACTTAACAAGACGCTTCCTACGCGTGTATTTGTATTTTTTAAACTGTATACATGGATTTCTCACGGAATTCTTGTAAACCATTTTAGAAATTAATGGTCATTCTTCGTAGAAACTGAAAAGGTATAGTAAGAGAATAAATAATTACTCGGAATGCTTAAGAATTTTCTGTTCAAAATTATTCTTGTTTCAAGAATCATTTATACAATTACGCAAAAGTCTATTCGCTTTTAAATTAATCAAGGATATTAACTAAAGAAATAGAGCTTAAGCACACGTATATATTTAGTGACATGTAATAAGGACTTTCACGTTTCAACACACCAATTCTTTGTTTCAGTAACATTATTAATTTAACCAGAATGTCTTTGTCTAAGAGCATTACGCGCTTGGATATTGAACAAGGTCAATCTAATTTATTCGTATATTATAGGAATTCTATCACGAAGTTATTCTATAATTAATTAAGCAAGAGTCTTGCCAGCTACTATTAAGATCTTTTGACCAAATGTTATTCTAAAAAAAGCAACACGATATTTCGTATATTCTAGAGATGTAACTATGAATTACAGTACATACAATTTATTTTAAACTAACAGTTCATAGATCGCACCTCTAGTATATTCATTCGATATGCTAACATATATACAAAACAAATAGAAACAATATAATTCATGTATATTTACTATAATGCTACCGCGTTTATTTCTAATAATAAAAAACGTTGATTAACTGAATTTATGTGTGGTAGTAGATGCTCTTAACTTGAGTAATTTATCACGTGTTGGGTATTTAACTTCTAAAACTCTGACAATTATGCTTATTTATGTTCTCTTTCTTTATATTAAATACTAATATTTTAAGATATTTAACGCATACCAGCAAAGAACTTTAATTATAACAAGCAAGAATTTTGTCCAAATTTTCTTTGTTTTAATTAATCATTGAATATGACTTTATAAAGCAAAAAAGGATTTTAAAATAACCATTCGGACAAAAAGAATATGTTATACAATAATTTGTAATGCGCGTAAAAATTTTGCTTAGAAAACTATATAACTTCTACAAATAGAATTTTAAATAAATAGCTTTTTGCATAAAATAATAGATTAATGTAGAATTCTACACAAGAAAGTTAAGGTTAATTAATCATAAATGTGAAATTCAGAATGATATTACTAACACAAAGAAATGAAATTTATGCGTCACCATTTGGGTTTATATAGTCTTTTGATCGAATAGTTATTCTTAGCTAATAGCATTGTAATAAGTATATAATTCCAAATGAATAAATAGGGGCTCTGTTCATTGTTAAAGAATCAAAACTTTTCATATCACAAAAAACTATGACCAATCAGAGAGAACATATATGGCAAATCATCGTATGAGAAAGACAACCAAGAAATAATAACATGAAAAAACTTTTTATAATTTTTATCATTTCATTAATTGTCTACGTACATCAACTTTTCACAAAATATGATTTGTGCAATTGTAATAGAGATGATTTATTCATGGAAGAATTGAAAAAATTATATAAGGAAATCGATTTTTTGTCAAGATATGATATTGAGAAAATTGAAATAATCAATTCAATGTATGAATCATTTTCTATCGAACACAGGGAAGATATCAGAAAGGCTATCATCAACACAAACATTCGACTATTTAATAGTAATGAAAGTTATTTAGTCGAATATGAACCATATCATACATTTATTATGTGTATAAGAAAACAACATAAACCTAACGATATAATGGAATACATTTGCAACTATTCAATCACTATAAATCATGTAAACCAATTTTTGGATATTTACAGACGAAGAGTGAACATAGAAAGAAATCGAATTATTAAGTTAAAAATATCAAAAAAAATATACTATAACACTTCAGAGCATGAGCGGCGTTTATTAGAAAAATCCATCACAAAAAACATTGTCGATCTTTTAGAATACCGGCCAAAATCATTTATAACTGATCGATTTGTTAATAAAATCATTTATTATTTTAATTATACTTAATTAAATATAAATTTATTACAAAAGCAAGTACAGTAATATGATGGAATTAGCTTCAAGTTAAAATTTACTAGAGATTCTAGTTGAGCTGCCATTAAAAATTAAAAATCAAATATGACAGTAGGAATTCAAATTATGCGAAAATATCTAAGTAATTTTTTAATTAATAATGTGATTTCTTCTCAACTGAAGAATTTTGAATCTTTTAAGAGGCGAAGGTTCTAGATCCTTATTCGTCTAATAATTTAAAAGGTATAAATTCTATAACTATAATAATTTTCATGAATAATGCGTTAAAGTTATTAAATCACATTACAATTATAATTGATCTTTATTAAATGAACAATAATACCTACAATACATGATTACAATACAATTTAAAATTTTAAAAAGCAGTTTATATTATACAAAAATTTATTCGATATTGTATAATTCAAAAGAGATAATCTCAGTCTATAGTTGTTAGATAAAACCATGTGATGATAATCATCATTTGTCATAAAATACCAAGACCTAAAAATTTAATCTAGTTTTTATTAAATAATGATATGTGACATTTAGCATCTCATGGTTTCGTCTAACAACTATAGAGGCACCCAGAGTGGATGACTCTGAGAACATTATATGTTTTCGAAATATTTAACCTTCCTTCTCCGGAACCGGGATGGCGACAAAGACAACGACAGCAACAACAGCAACAACAACAGCAATGACGATAAGCTTAAGAAACCAAATTTGGAAACACATATTCGCGAAGTGTTAACTATGAGTAAGAATTTAAAGGTTGCACATCTAATAAACGTTAAAGTAAATAATTCTCGCTATTGGATGTTTCAATAGTGGTCTAAAATAAATTTTTTTATCTTCGAAATAAGTTAAAATTTTGTTAATACATAATAATATTATTCACATACTGAATTTTTTGATTGGTCAAAATTACATAATTCTGCTCATATTTTTTTGTATTGTCTCCATAAGATAAACGTGACTTTAATCATTTTTTAAAAACTAAATATAATACAAAAAGAGCGAGCAGAATCCCTACCCGATCTTGATATAGTGATCGGGATTATTTATATAATTGTCATTTTTTCCAGAACTATTTAATTAACTTCAATTTCAATTTTTAATACAGAATTAATTATATCGTCAATTCATTCTGTGAAAAATAAAAATGTCTAATTTAATTTTTCATGCAATAAAAATTATCGATGTGATCCGTTATCTGTTTTTCTATTAAAATTATAAATATTAGGCTAATGGATATCCGTATTTACCAGTAATTTTTTTTTAAAAATTTTTGATGCCTAACTCAGCTCAAGCATACGATCTCTTTAATAGATGTAAACTTGTTAATGATGTATCACATGCATTTATGACAAACTAATATTTTTATACACACTCATTTAGTAAGCCTACTATTCTGTTACATATTGTGAATATTTAAATACTCGAAAGCTATTTAAAGCTGAAGAAGCTAAATATCTGCTTGTTCTAAATAAACTATTGCGATCTGTTTCTGAAGAATCAGATTATAAAAATGCTTTTATAACATATAATAAAATTAAAGATGAAGGTAATGACAATTTCAAACGTCAAGTCAAATTTAAAATGGGACTACACTTGCTTGCTGTTGCTAGTTGTGAAGAAAATATTGCAAAGGATGTAAAGCTCATTATTGAAGCCGAACGTCTTGGTTTTTATCCCGCAAAAAAATAGAACCAAGATCATGAAAAAAAAAAATGATTATGGTGCAAGCGAGGCAAAAAAACTATTACCAGTGCGAATTTAACAATGATGGAGATATCTCTTTATTACTTTGAAATATAGTTAAATTTTATTTAGATAGTAATTAAAAATGAATTCACTATAATAGTTTACTCTAAAAATAGTAGTTAACTTAACGCTAAATGATGCAGATAATATCTCTCACGGACCCATGGGTCCGTAAATCATGTGATATCATTAGTTTCTTCACGTAAGCTAATCGATAAAAAATAAAATTTAAAAGCAAAAATAAAAAATAATTATACTTAAAAATATAATAGAAAACAATTTACCTTTTAATTTCTTTATTACGTTCTTTTGTTTCGATATTGTAATGTAAAAAAATGTCTTTAAAGATTAAAGGATCATCCTCGGGCAAAATTTCGATTTCTTGTTTCCAACGTTCGTACCAATCAATTTCATTTTCATAGAGATTTGTCTTTGTCTGGTGCCCTTTTCTTTTCTCTTCCGAGATACCTGACATGATCAACAATTTTTTTAATTACAAAGTCTTTAGTTATTCTCTCATCTTTCTTTTGTTGCCTGGTTTTAGGTTTTCTTTTTTATGTAAAGTTACGAATTTATTCTCCAATATTAAGTTTAATTGAAAAAGGAATTCACTTATTATTAAAAACATCTGAATGTGACCAGTCAATAATAAAACATATAACCCACTCCGGAGCACTCCAGAAATAGGTTATATGTTTTATTAATGTCTGGAGTACTCCATTTCCATTAACAACACTACCTAAAGAGTTCCAAATAATTTCCGATAAATTAGAAGAACTTTTTATAACATTGACAATTGTACATACACTCCGCAAAATACAACTGATTATCTTTTTATGGTTCTAAAACCTGAAACTGCCATTCATTTAATTATGGAGGACTTTTCATGTGGATTTGACAAGGCTAGAAATATAATGAAAGAAAGGGTGGCGTACGGTTCGATGTTTAATGACGAAGAATGAAAATATTAATCGAAAGTGAAAATGATATGAAGATACTGAGGATGAAGATGTTTATGATTGATTAGTTTAGATTAAATAAGCATTTTTATATTTTTCGTACATTTGTGATATTTGTTAAGATCATAAATTTACACTAGTAAAATTGGTTTATTTGTCTTCAAAAAAATTTATAATTCTTAGATTCATGCCCACGTGAAGATTCATTTTTAAAGTAACAATATTGCGGTTCCACTAGTCCTTGAGGTATCTGATGATTTTATTGATACCATCAAATATTCTACTTTTAAAATCAAATATGATACATTCTCATGTAAACTTTTTGTTCGGAATGGAATAATTTTAAATAAAGTAATTATATTGAACTACACGATATAATAACTTCCAAATTTAAAATAGATAATCAAGTAGATAATCAAGATAATTGTAGAGTCGTTGTTAATAATTCAACCAAGATTAAATGCGGCAAAGACAAAATAGAAGCGTTATCAAACAATACTAATAAACATTTCATATACATTAAATGGTGGTTAGCGAACATGAGCTCTAATTCTGCCCAAATTTATCTCTAATTCTGCCCAAATTTATATTCGAATTGTAAATTTTGTCTGAATTAGGGTTTAATTTAGGCTGAATTGGAATATAAATTTGGGCAAAATTAAGATAAAAATTTTGGCAGAATTAGGATTTAATTTGGGCAGAATTTGAATACAGTATAAATTTGGGAAAATAGATTATAAATTTGGGCAGAATTAGAATATAAATTTAGGAAGAATTAAAGTATAAATTTGGGCAAAAGTAAAATATAAATTTAGCAAAATTAGAGTATAACGATAAAGTTTGGGCAGAATTGGAGTTTAATATATATTTCTTATAACTTACTTGCATATCAAAACTTTCAATAAAAGAACAAGAGCTTGAATCTGCCAAGAAAGAAAATGCGAACCTCGACAAAAAATTCACTTTAAAGAAACAAGAGCTTGAAACCACCAAGAAAGAAATTATGAACCTTGACAAAAAACTCTCAATAAAGGAAAAAGAGCTTGAAACCGCCAAGAAAGAAAATGTGAACCTTAACAAAAAACTCACAGAAAAGGAACACGATTATGAAGAATCACAAAAAAAAATTAAAGACCTT